TTTAGCGCGGCACGCCAGGTGCCCGTGTCCAAACGTTTTTGTTGCCTGAAGCAGTAAAAGCATAGGAATAAATATGTCATCATTACTCGATAATGGAGTGTCTGATGTCATAAAGTCACTTGGGATACTTATCCCATTACGAAGAAGAAGGTGGTACTGAGATAGTATCTGTGGAGGTCTGTATCCTATCTGGCAGTGGGTGCCTTCCAAAACTGTCCTGAAACGGTTTTATCAGCTTAATCGATAACTTATTTTAAATTACAAAATAGTTTAATGCGTATCAAATCGGTTGCTGGAACGCGACCTTCGGGTATAGTGAAGTTCAGTCATGTGTTTAATCACGTTGCTACTTAAAAGTTGCATTTAAATAGTTTGATGAGACCAAAACGTGGTCTCACCAAACAATTCACCGCGATTAAACTTTAATACGCGACTTTTTATGTCGGTTCTGGAAGGCACCCAGCTGCTAATGTAACCTTAAATTTTATATTTAATAAGATCAGGAAAAATACAATTAAACTCATTATAACGGTGTTACTCCAATAAATAATTCACTGTTGCCAATAATGTATTGAATAGTCTGCACTGATTATTATTTGTCGTCGTCCAATCGGACGATAGAAAATGCAGGCCAAACAATATTTGCAATATACATCAATTGTTATAGGAGTATTGTCCTTGTGGGCAAGCAGATAGTGCCTCTGCGAACTAGGCAGGAGATGCACAGGCGCACAGGTCAAGCTCATACTAACGTTATCTTTGCTGAAGTTCAGAGTCTCGTCATGCGAAGCACATCTTTGGTTTGTAGTTTTTCTAACTTCCAAAGGAATTATGACATTATTCTTATCAAAAATCTTGTGTCGGTTGATCAGCTCGCCTAACTACCCAACAATAGCACTCATGTGAAATTAATGCTAAGGAGAACCTTGCTGCTCAAGGGGATTTGCGCGAGCTGATAATTGTGATTTATTACCCATTATTTCTAAATAGAGAGTGGATTGTGTGCCCATCTGAGCGTGACTCGTTTTTACGCCGCCAATTTTGGCAGTTTACTGCTTAATCCGGACCGCGTATACATGTACACTTCGAAAATGTGTGGTTCCCCCCATTCAAGCATTTAGCGAGCGGCGAGGATGAATAGACCTGCACGCCGGGCGCCAAAACGCAGGCATCACACTACTGGAAGCGACGAGAGCGATGATAGCAATTCATTAGAAGAGTGGGCGATGCCTTCTCGAGGAGCGAGCATCCATACATCGGATACCTCTAGTCAGTTCGACACTCAGAGCTCTCGGGACAATGAAGGCGATCATACAACAGACACCTCTGTCTCTCAAGCACTTGCCCCTCCAATTGAGCGCACGCAGTTTGACTCTTGGGAGTCATTTCATTCTTGAATGAATACAGCGCGATGACGAACCAGGTTTGCTACACTGCTAACATTTAAATGTTGGCTCCCTATTACTAACTTGTAAAATCAAAATTTCTTACAGAGTTTTCGCGTGCGCACGAACAACAATGTGGGAGAGCGAAACAATAAGATCGCGAAGATGAAGACGAGGGACCCGTTAATCCCGAACGAGTGGATTGTGTACAACAAGACATTGGTCTGCACGTATGCTGGAAAATACAAGCCGCGAGGAAAAGGCAAGCGACCGCGTCAAGAAGTGAGAACCACACAGTGCGGTGCGCAGGTATGCATTAGACATGAGCTCAATAACGTAGGTGGGCTCAGGTGGGCTCAGGTGGGTTCATTCGAGCTTTAGGTATCTTCGATATTATATGGGATTTTGCATGTTTGTGACAGATAAATGCTTGTGTCCGGGTCGTAAAAGGTAGCGCAGACGACCCTATCTTTTCGTTGTGTGTCACTGTTGCCAAACTGCAGCACAATCACCCTCGAACTAGACAAAACTACGA